TAGAGGAAGGGTTAGCTAAAAGGGTTAAGGTTAGGGTTAGGGGAAGGGCTTAGTAAAAGGGTTAAGATGGGGGTTAGGTTTAGGGTTAGCTAACATGCTAAGTAGTTGCAAAGTAGCTAAAAAGTAGTAAATAATGAAAAGCTAAAGTTGTCGGTGATGAGATTCAAAGAAAGTTGTTGAAAAGTTTCCCATGAGGACATTCGAACAGGCAACCTTTGGATTGCTAGATGTTCGCGTTATACAAGTCTAACAAATCTAGGGTGTGTTGTATGGTTTTCAGCTTTTAACACATTAATTGCAGAAATTTACACAATGTGTCGAAACATTTATACAAATCATGTTGTGCCAACACAGTGATTGTGTTAAAAGTAACACAACATGTGTCATCCCTAACTAGACACACGGATGTGTTAAAAATTACATATTTTCTAAGAGTGTAGTGCTGAGCGATTAGTGGTCGGTTTGGTTTCGATTCGATTAACCAAATACAATCATGTTTTTTTCGATTTTGGTTTTGCACATTCTTTAAAACATGAAATGCACTATGCATTGTGTGTGTTGAATGCTGTAACAACACAGAATAAAACAATTAGTGAAAGTCCCATGATGTAGTGACTGTCCATTACTGCTAATCACTTATTAACCATCATTATTTATTCACATTTGTTACATTTGTTTTATTTGATTACTTTATGATTTAATACGCAGTCATCTTATCATCTCTATAGAGCTGCTGCCTATGCTGTCAGACAAAATCACAATTTTAGTAGTTCTTCAAAGTAAAATAAAGCATACTTTTATGACTACTGAATACCAACTATAAATCACTTAGATCATGTATTGTTTTTAAAGTAGAGATACCTTGTGAAGCAATTGCTCTCTATCCCTCTCGATCACACATTATTCTATCTCTTCTTTCTTGTCTGCCCCACACTAACCTAATGTAGCAGGTGTAAAAGAAACACACGGACAACTAGGCGTGCAATGGATTATGGTCATTGTAGTTAATTACCATGTTTTCTGTGCTAAACTATGTAGAATATTGGCCTGTTAGACACTACAACTCCCTACTACATTGCACAGTTCAGGCTTGATCTGATTTATCTCTACAGAAACTGCGCAATGAGCACATTGAGCTCACAGAAAAAAAAGAAGAACCAATGGAATTCAAAAAATTTGTTTAAAATAATAGTTTAAAAAACAAAAAATAACCAACATTTCAGTTAATCGTTCAGCACTAGTAGTTTATGTGCCATTCTTTAACAATAGAGCAATATAATTATCTCAGTAACCAGAATTCCATCCAACCTTTTTATGCAAGTAAAGTACAGTGAGGGAAAAAAGTATTTGATCCCCTGCTGATTTTGTACGTTTGCCCACTGACAAAGACATGATCAGTCTATAATTTTAATGGTACGTTTATTTGAACAGTGAGACAGAATAACAACAAAAAAATCCAGAAAAACGCATGTCAATAATGTTATAAATTCATTTGCATTTTAATGAGGGAAATAAGTATTTGACCCCTCTGCAAAACATGACTTAGTACTTGGTGGCAAAACCCTTGTTGGCAATCACAGAGGTCAGACGTTTCTTGTAGTTGGCCACCAGGTTTGCACACATCTCAGGAGGGATTTTGTCCCACTCCTCTTTGCAGATCTTCTCCAAGTCATTAAGGTTTCGAGCCTGACATTTGGCAACTCGAACCTTCAACTCCCTCCACAGATTTTCTATGGGATTAAGGTCTGGAGACTGGCTAGGCCACCCCAGGACCTTAATGTGCTTCTTCTTGAGCCACTCCTTTGTTGCCTTGGCTATGTATTCTGGGTAATTGTCATGCTGGAATACCCATCCACGACCCATTTTCAATGCCCTGGCTGAGGGTAGGAGGTTCTCACCCAAGATTTGACGGTACATGGCGCCGTCCATCGTCCCTTTGATGCGGTGAAGTTGTCCTGTCCCCTTAGCAGAAAAACACCCCCAAAGCATAATGTTTCCACCTCCATGTTTGATGGTGGGGATGGTGTTCTTGGGGTCATAGGCAGCATTCCTCCTCCTCCAAACACGGCGAGTTGAGTTGATGCCAAAGAGCTCCATTTTGGTCTCATCTGACCACAACACTTTCACCCAGTTCTCCTCTGAATCATTCAGATGTTCATTGGCAATCTTCAGACGGCCCTGTATAAGTGCTTTCTTGAGCAGGGGGACCTTGCGGGCGCTGCAGGATTTCAGTCCTTCACGGCGTAGTGTGTTACCAATTGTTTTCTTGGTGACTATGGTCCCAGCTGCCTTGAGATAATTGACAAGATCCTCCCGTGTAGTTCTGGGCTGATTCCTCACCGTTCCATGATCATTGGAACTCCACGAGGGGAGATCTTGCATGGAGCCTCAGGCCGAGGGAGATTGACAGTTCTTTTGTGTTTCTTCCATTTGCGAATAATCGCACCAACTGTTGTCACCTTCTCACCAAGCTTTTTGGCGATGGTCTTGTAGCCCATTCCAGCCTTGTGTAGGTCTACAATCTTGTCCCTGACATCATTGGAGAGCTCTTTGGTCTTGGCCATGGTGGAGAGTTTGGAATCTGATTGATTGATTGTTTCTGTGGACAGGTGTCTTTTATACAGCTAACAAACTGAGATTAGGAGCACTCCCTTTAAGATTGTGCTCCTAATCTCAGTTCGTTACCTGTATAAAAGACACCTGGGAGCCAGAAATCTTCCTGATTGAGAGGGGGTCAAATACTTAATTCCCTCATTAAAATATAAATCAATGTATAAAATTTTTGACATGCGTTTTTCTGGATTTTTTTGTTGTTATTCTGTCTCTCACTGTTCAAATAAACTTACCATCAAAATTATAGACTGATCATTTCTTTGTCAGTGGGCAAATGTACAAAATCAGCAGGGGATCAAATACTTTTTTCCCTCACTGTACATGTCAGATACAATTTTTTATTTAAAACTCAAAAATACTATTTAGAGAACAGCAAAAACAAGCAATAATTACTCCAGCCATTATCACATTGGTTGCTGTAGTCGATCTACAAACACATAACCTATTAGCTATACAATTAGATGCTACACATTAACTAACATTACCTCAGCATCGGGATTAAGAACTATAATTGAATACATACAGAGGGATCTGTTAGCAGAAAATGTATTTTATTAACAAAAGGTAAAGAAATCTGTTTGCTTTACAGATTATTTTTGTTTGTTGCATTATTATAGTTAATTTCCTGCAATTCTACACATTTTGCAATGACTTATGCCATGTTAATATGATATCTAAATGTGAGAGTGACAAACAAACTCATTGGGGGCCCCCTGGATGTCAGGGCCACTGGGCACGTGCCCGGTCAGTAATTTGCCATGATTACTACAAGTTTAGATAGCTGGCTAGACTAACTAGACTAATTTACCAATCTAAAAATGTTAACTGACATGGGCTAATTGAGTGAATGACATATAGCATATAATAGGGAAACTGCTGATGCACAACCAAGTTTCGAAGTTGCACCTTCTGTATTCTGCTATTCTAACGTCAATAGTAAGTTGAGACCCCAACTGAGTTCCTACATTTTTTTACATTTAATTTTATAGGTCTGGCCTCTGTGTCCTCATATGTAGCCCTGGTAGCAATATGTTATACTATTCCCATAGATAGAATAGCATTTTCTGCTTGTGAATACTGTACATAAAGGGCATTCGGAAAGTGTTCAAACCCCTTGACTTTTTCCACATTTTGTGACGTTACAGCCTTATTCTAAAATGGATTAAATTGTTTTTTCCCCCTCATCAATCTACACACAATTTATTTTGCAAATTTATTACAAATAAAAAACGGAAATATTACATTTACATAAGTATTCAGACCCTTTACTCAGTACTTTGTTGAAGCACCTTTGGCAGTGATTACAGCCTCAAGTCTTGGGTATGATGCTACAAGCTTTGCACACCTGTATTTGTGGAGTTTATCCCATTCTTCTCTGCAGATCCTCTCAAGCTCTGTCAGGTTGGATGGGGAGCATCGCTGCACATGGTGCCAGGTTTCCGCCAGACGTGACGCTTGGTATTCAGGCCAAAGAGTTCAATTTTGGTTTCATCAGACCAGATATTCTGAGAGTCCTTTAGGTGCCTTTTGGCAAACTCGAAACAGGCTGTCATGTGCCTTTTACTGAGGAGTGGCTTCCGTCTGGCCACTCTACCATAAAGGCCTGATTGGTGGAGTGCTGCAGAGATGGTTGTCCTTTTGGAAGTTTCTCCCATCTCCACAGAGGAACTCTGGAGCTCTGTCAGAGTCCCTCCCTGACCAAGGCCCTTCTCCCCTGATTGCTCAGTTTGGCCGGGCGGCATACTTTAGGAAGAGTCTTGGGGGTTCCAAACGTCTTCTATTTAAGAATGATGAAGGCCACTGTGTTCTTGGGGACCTTCAATGCTGCAGAAATGTTTTGGTACCCTTCCCCAGATCTGTGCCTCGACACAATCCTGTCTCGGAGCTCTACGGACAATTCCTTCAACCTCATGGCTTGGTTTTTGCTCTGACATACACTGTCAACTGTGGGACCTTATATAGACAGGTGTTTGCTGTGTTTGATTTGTTTCCAAATCATGTCCAATCAATTTAATTTACCACAGGTGGACTCCAATCAAGTTGTAGAAACATCCCAAGGATGATCAATGCAAACAGGATGCACCTGAGCTCAATTTCGAGTCTCATAACAAAGGGTCTGAATACTTATGTAAATACGTATTTTCAGTTTTGTATTTTTAATACATTTGCAAAAAATTCTAAAAACCTGTTTTTGCTTTGTCATTATGGGGTATTGTGTGTAGATAGATGAGGTAAAACATTTATTTAATCCATTTTAGAATCAGGCTGTAACGTAACAAAATGTGGAAAAGGGGAAGGGGTCTGAGTACTTTCCGAATGCACTGCATCTCTCCCTTGACCACTTCATTCTTTTTTGATCTACAGAACTGTTGACCCCTGCTTTCAACATGTCTTCCTCTGCACATTGTTTCGGGACCAACTTCCTTGGGCGCCTTAAAAGCCCCATCTGTAGCTCCAATGCTGAGCAAGATGACCACCATCTGCCCAAGTTTGAGCCCTTTGGGGAGGATGTGGCAGTGCCCCGTGGACCCTCCAGTGATGGTACAAGATAAATAGAATAAGTGTTGGGAGTGTGTGTGTGTGTGTGTGTGTGTGTGTGTGTGTGTGTGTGTGTGTGTGTGTGTGTGTGTGTGTGTGTGTGTGTGTGTGTGTGTGTGTGTGTGGTAAGTGAGTGAGTGAGTAAGTGAGAAAGAGAGCGTGAACGAGTGAATTCTGTGTAAGCCATAAGTAAGTGATCATATTAAATCTGTGTAATCACATTAAAATACAACAACAAAAAATTGCTGCACCCCTTCTTACCCAAGTCCTTGGCCGTCTATAATAAATAACATCAACACACATTAATTACACAGCAAATATATATGAACACAGTGTTTAATGAACACTGAAACCGCTGAGTCTGTGGGCACATATAAATTAACACACTGCTTTGTGTAATGCCTTATTCAAATATTTCCCAGAGTGCTTTGCCTTTCAAGTAAATTGTAGAGTTACCACTCATGATTGCATTTGTTAGTGACAGAGACACGGTTGTTGCATTCAATCGTTTTTGGTCTTAGGGACTTCACCACTTGAGATATATATATAAGACCTTATGAAAAACATATTGTATTGTGTTATATATATTTTGAGGGCCTAGTATTACCCTAATACTATTGATGTTACGTTTGATGCCGGAGCTCCGAGGCATGCTCCGTAATCTTTAAGCATTGTACTTTGAAGTAGTGTGCCGATGCCTGTATCACTTTATCAGAAGCACTTGATCAATGACGTCTGAAGAATCGTTTTGTCAAACAACGACCTGATTGGTTTGATATTGGTTTGGTGAAAGACAAAAAGGCTACGCTGCCCACATCAATAATAATTTGGCTGCTCTAAATTATTTTGACCAGCAGGTGCCACTAGTGTACTCTATGTTGATCGAAGCCTAGAGTAATTAACCCATTTGACACAATTTGCTGGAAAACCTCAATGATTCAGGAAGCTTTGTTTCCCCATCACTATCACATCGTTATCAGGTTTTTCAGCATGCTCTGTTGCAGGTGAATTTTTTGAATTGTTTGTTTCAATGTCTATGTTTGTGTATTGATTGACTGATTCATTCATACTTTTTTTTAAATTCCAAAAGTTGGTTATCCCCACCGTGGCTGTATTCCAATAGGAATTGTACATCACCTTGCAAGCCAGCATAATGTGACTTGCATCCCAGATGTGGCCTGTAAACCATGAGTTTCAGGATTAGATTTCCTACAGCAGGGTTGCCCAACCCTGTTTCTGGAGAGCTACCCTCCTGTAGGTTTTCGCTCCAACCCCAGGTGTTACTAACCTGATTCATCTTATCAACCTGCTAATTATTAGAATCAGGTGTGTTAGATTAGGGTTGGAGCAAAAACCTACAGGACGGTAGCTCTACATGAACAGGGTTGGGCAGTCCTGTCCTAAAAGGTTACAAACGCTTGTCACTGTAGTGCAGGGTTCTTCAATTCCGGTCCTGGAGGGCCGAAACGCTTCTGTTTTTTATTTGTACCTGGTAGTTAATTGCACTCACCTTGTGTCCCAGGTCTGAATTAGCCCCTGATTAGAAGGAGAGGATGGAAAACAGAGGTGTTTCGGCCCTCCAGGACCGGAATTGAAGAACCCTGCTGTAGTGGTACCCTGTAAGGCAGGGGTGTCAAACTCATTCCATGGAGGGCCTAGTGCCTGCTGGTCTTTGGTTTTTCCTTTCAATTAAGACCTAGACAACCAGGTGAGGGGAGTTCCTTACTAATTAGTGACCTTACTTCATCAATCAAGTACAAGGGAAAAGCAAAACCCACAGATTATTGGCCTGCCGTGGAATGAATTTGACATGCGCTGTAAGGTCATCCTGTGTACATTCAGTTATAAGTCCATAATTGGTAGGCAGGTAGCCTAGTGGTTAAGAGCGTTGGGCCAGTAACCAAAAGGTTGCTGGTTTGAATCCCTGAGCCAACTAAGTGAAAAATGTGCTGTTGAGCAAGGCACTTCACCCTAATTGCTCTGGATAAGAGCGTCTGCTAAATGACTTAAATAAAAAATTGAATTGTACCCCAGCTCATACCTCAGGTTTGCAAAATTCAGTTGACTTTGAAAAAACTCTAAAATGATGTTGGAGGTGATTTATGGAAGAGAAATGAACATTCAATATTCTGACAACAGCTCTGGTGGACATTCCTGCAGTCAGCATGCCAATTGCATGCTTCCTCAAAACTTGAGACATCTGTGGCATTGTGTTGTGTGACAAAAGTGCACCTTTATTGTCCCCAGCATAAGGTGCACCTGTGTAATGATCCTGCTGTTTAATCAGCTTTTTGATATGCCACACCTGTCAGGTGGATGGATTATCTTGGCGAAGGAGAAATGCTCACTAACAGGGATGTAAACAAATTTGTGCACAAAATCTGATATGCCACACCTGTCAGGTGGATGGATTATCTTGGCGAAGGAGAAATGCTCACTAACAGGGATGTAAACAAATTTGTGCACAAAATCTGATATGCCACACCTGTCAGGTGGATGGATTATCTTGGCGAAGGAGAAATGCTCACTAACAGGGATGTAAACAAATTTGTGCACTAAATCTGATATGCCACACTTGTCAGGTGGATGGATTATCTTGGCGAAGGAAATGCTCACTAACAGGGATGTAAACAAATTTGGCCACAAAATCTGAGAGAAATACGCTTTTTGTGTGTATGGAACATTTCTGGAATCTTTTATTTCAGCTCATGAAACATGTTGTGTTTATATTTTTGTTCAGTTTATATATATATTTTTTAATGATAACATATTCTCTTGGAATCTCACTTATAACACCCACATGACTGAAACTGGATGAATGCAACAACAATGTCTCTGTCACTAACAAATACAGTCATGGGTGGTAACTGTACAATTTACTCAAAAGGCAAGGCACTCTGGGAAATATTTGAATAAGGCTTTAGACTAAGCATTGTGTTCATTTAACTCTGCTCCGGTGTCAATATTGGTCCACAGACTCAACACTTTCTGTGTTGATTTAACACTCCCAGTGTTCAATTATTTAAAAAATTACTGCTGTGTAGGCCCACAGGTTTGTTGTGTGCCAACTCTGCTCGGTCGAGGTCAGCAGAAATCCTTGTTCCCATTTTGACTTCACACTCAGACCTGACGTCCTCAAAAGCAAAACATTTAATTTCTCTGTGTTAAATAAAGATTTAAAACGCAGCTGTCCATTTTGGCACAATGTGGTGTGAGAAACGGCACTGTTTCTCCTGAGGGAAATAATGGAACTTTTGAACGTTCAGTCTTGCTGAGGCCAGGAGTTTGAAATACACAACGACCGGTTGTTTGTCTGCTCAACCTGGGCACCAACATGGCTGGGCATGCCGCTGCCAATCCAATGGAGACATTCCCCTCAGACACACTCCCCCTAGGTCTCTGCTAAAGCAAAAGCGTGTCTCAGGACACGTCCATCTCTGTCCAAAACAAAGTCGCTGGTACAGTGAGGCTTCCATTTGATTACCCTGGGGAAAGTGTGGTTGGTTGCATATAATTATTTCAGAAAATGAACAATGACTCAGACGCTATTCATTGATGACAATGTATACCAGCTTTAAGATTCAAAGCAATCTTATCATCCCTTAAATTGGTCCAATCACAGCTCATGTGTGGAGAGTGCTCTAGAGCAAAATGGCTGCCATGCCTCAACCAGGTGGGCTGCTACACAATAGTGATGGATGGGAGTGAGTTACCCATACAAAGTAAATTACTGTGAGATTTAAAGGGATAGTTCACTTCTTTGATGTTTTTTAAAACATTTTCATCTTTGTGTTGTCGTTTCATCCAAACCATTTTTTTATTTACTACCTGGATATTTAAACATAATTGTTTTGTCTGTGATCTCCTTATTTGCAGCCGCCTTAAAATGTGTGAGTGTGGACATGATGCAAAATGAGAACAAGAGGGACCACCACTGTCACTTGTACGAAGGCAAAAACAACATTCTAATCGTCCGTAGGGCCCAGGAGTTTAAGATGAACCTCCATTTCAACCAGCCTGTAAAACCCAGCGACAAATTTCAGATTGAGTTTTACATTGGTAAGAAGTTTTTACACATTTCCACCAATGTACTATAAATTCCTTTCTGCTGGGTAAAAATGGCATTACATGTATTGTTTGAATTCACTGAGGGTGATCTATTAATTACAGTGTTCACAATTTGGTAATAGTTTTAATGAGAGGAGTTGGTGTTTCAGAGGCGAAGGTGCATCTCAATAATACAATTGTTCCTCCCCTAGTCTCCTCTCCATCATCTGTGTTTAGCCTCTGTAGCCAATTAGAACCACTAATTGATAAAAGTGCCAGGTTGAAACGAAAACAGACAATTGACGTGTTCCATCTAAACGTCTGTAACATCTATTGATAGTAATCACACTTCGGAAGAAGGGTGTAAAATATGGACTTGTCCAGGATCTCTCTCTGAGGAGGGGGCGTACAATGACAGAGTGCTCTTTGATGAGTGTCAGCCCATGTGTCAAACAGCAAATCAAATACTTCCAATTAGCATGATCAAGCGCTGGAAACCAAATAGTCCATTGACGGTTTACCATCAGATCATTAGCCGCATGTAATTACCAGTGTTAGAAGACACACACATTATACTGTATGCTTACATCATACTGAGACGGGAATTGATGAAAAGAGTTGCCGCTCTATGTGCTCGATTCAACCCATATGGCGGAAGTTCCGTGGTATAGCGCGATTGAAATGTAAAGATCATTTCCGATTGAGCCGACATATGCAGCGTTTACTGTGAATGCACTCACCGCGAAGGCGCTATACCGCGTAACTTCTGCGATACGGATTGAATCGAGCCCTAGGTTTTAGTGTCAGTTACAAAACTGAAATATGCCCACTAAGGACTGTATGTGCATCTACAGCAGCTTACTAGAAGCAGCCTAGCAATCCATCTGCAGTTAATGGTTTGCAGTGGTGTGAAGTAACTAAGTAAAAATACTTTGAAGTACAACTTTTTCAGGTATCTGTACTTTTGTAAATTATGTCTGAGTGTTGGACGTGTGCCCCTGGCTGTACTTAAGTACATTTAAAACCAGATACTTTTAGACTTTTATTCAAGTATTGTTTTACTGGGTGACTTTCACTTTTACTTGAGTCCTTTTCTATTAAGGTACCTTTACTTTTACTCAAATATAATAATGTAGTACTTTTTGGTGATGGCTGATGGTTTGTTGCATTCCAGGTAATCTTTATTGCAGTCGTGGTGCACAGACTAGCGCCTATCTTCTGTAATGTTGTTGTGATATTGAGCAGACCTCGACTTGTGTTGGTTGATGCACTGTTCACTCAACAACTAAACAGTTTTTTTGGTAGCACTTTATTTTACAGTACAGAAAATTATAAGGTATTATTCTTTTTTTAAACACGGTAACATAATAATAACACAGTAATAACTTATGATTTACTTGCTTTGTTTCTTCAAACTCATTAAAACAAGTAACGACTTGGTACCATTTGTTACCGACTGGGGTTAATTATTTTAAGAAAGTACCAGAAAGTATAAATTGTTAACACATAACGTCATATTAAATACTAAGATAGTACCAGTGGAAACATGAGTGTCTGCATGTGTTGACGTTTCCCCTGTCATGTCACCTTCTCCCTCAGGTATCGATACCAACGTGATGAATGGTACAAAGATCATCATATCCTTTGATAGCTCAAGAAATGGGAAGTGGACCGGCCGCATGATACAGAAACTAGGGGACAAGTGCGTGGTGGGCATCACCCCTTCCGCGAGCGCCATCATCGGAAAGTACTACACGAATGTGGCGGTCATCGGTTCCAATGGAATCTCCAGGACACCAAAGGACCCCAGAACTGACTTCTACCTCCTGTTCAACGCCTGGGCGTTCAGTGAGTGGAATTTTTTGTTGTTATTTTTTTACCCAGGACCAAGTTGGTTCTCCTCTGAGGATGGCTTAAGGTAAATCATGTCAAACCATGTGTTTTTGGAATACTTCACATGTGATGATATTTCACATAAAGTTTCACATGTGAATTTTCATACGATCACATAACCTTTCACATGTAGTTTAACATTTTGAAGGAGTGTCCACATACTTTTGTATATATAGTGTATTTGACACACTTTGACAGACATCATTCCATTCTGTATGTTTATACATTAATTGTAATTCACCACATCCTCGTTGGGGTTTGAATTCACAACCTTTTGGTTCACAGTAGTCCGATCTTCCTGCTACGCCAACATGTCTGTGTCAATTAATGATTTCACCTGTATTCCTACACTTTGGACTTAAGTAAAGTAAACCTAAGCTTTGTTAAAAATACGCTCAAGAAAAATAAGTACATTTATCATAGTGATTCAGGAGTAACATTAAAACAGAGTAATATGCCCCACCAACATTAGACAACTATACAGAAAACCCCTCAAATTGCTGAAATAAGTAAATGGAATAAATGATGAGAGAATAGTCAGATTAACAGTTAACTAAAATAGAAGTGCAGATGGCACTCTTTTGCCAAGTGGAGAGATGTACAGTATTATAGGTAATGAATGTGTAAAGGAATGCTACAGACTTTGTGTTGCAGCAGAACGATCAGCATATCCCAAATCCAGAGGTTGTGAGTTCAAATTCCAGGTGGGGTCATATTGAAAAGTCAGTACTAAGTGATTATGTCAAATGGAATTATATGTTTTATACTATTTTAGCAGAACAGCGTACCACTTACTTTAAAACCCCCATATAATTTCAATCCCTTATAAAAACTACTTGTGAAATGTGCAGTTTCACATTTGAAAATCGTATTTCTACAGGAGAAATCACATTTTTACTTAGCTGAACTTTTCACATGTAAAAAAAGACCATATGTGAAACTGCAAAAAAAAAAAAAAAAATGCACCACCTTTTCACATAAGGAGAATTCACATGTAAAAATGTGTAGGTTTTTCATTTGCAGTTTCACATATGGTATCTCTTTTTTTTATGCAACATTTTCAGTTTTTTTTAACCATATGTTCACATTTATTCAATTTAGAGTTCACGTGTTAACACCATCTTCTCATATGTGTGGAGAATAACATGTTTTCACCTCACATGTGAAAATCGAATTTGCACTTTTGTTTTTCAATTTCGCATGTGAAAAACTGTGTTGAAATTTTGTTTATTTATTTCACATGAGATCATGTTTTCACATGTAGTTTCATTTTATCACGTTTCTTCTGATACATGCACACACACACTACAAGTTAATGTATTTTCCGTTATGTGTCAGACCCCAGTAAGACTATCTGTCGCCATTGGCGTCGGCTAATGGGGATCCTAATAAATCAAATAGGAAATATTTTATATGTTGTCAAATGTTATCACATTAACTTCACATGCAATCACGAAAAAATTAATGTGGTTTTTGTGTAAGGGACATTATTAAAATGAACACTGACTACAGTGGGGGAAAAAAGTATTTAGTCAGCCACCAATTGAGCATGTTCTCCCAATTAAAAAGATGAGAGAGGCCTGTAATTTTCATCATAGGTACACGTCAACTATGACAGACAAATTGAGAGAAAAAATTCCAGAAAATCACATTGTAGGATTTTTAATGAATTTATTTGCAAATTATGGTGGAAAATAAGTATTTGGTCACCTACAAACAAGCAAGATTTCTGGCTCTCACAGACCTGTAACTTCTTCTTTAAGAGGCTCCTCTGTCCTCCACTCATTACCTGTATTAATGGCACCTGTTTGAACTTGTTATCAGTATAAAAGACACCTGTCCACAACCTCAAACAGTCACACTCCAAACTCCACTATGGCCAAGATTAAAGAAACAAAATTGTAGACCTGCACCAGGCTGGGAAGACTGAATCTGCAATAGGTAAGCAGCTTGGTTTGAAGAAATCAACTGTGGGAGCAATTATTAGGAAATGGAAGACATTCAAGAACACTGATAATCTCCCTCGATCTGGGGCTCCACGCAAGATCTCACCCGTGGGGTCAAAATGATCACAAAAACGGTGAGCAAAAATCCCAGAACCACACGGGGGGACCTAGTGAATGACCTGCAGAGAGCTGGGACCAAAGTAACAAAGCCTACCATCAGTAACACACTACGCCGCCAGGGACTCAAATCCTGCAGTGCGAGACGTGTCCCCCTGCTTAAGCCAGTACATGTCCAGGCCCATCTGAAGTTTGCTAGAGTGCATTTGGATGATCCAGAAGAGGATTGGGAGAATGTCATATGGTCAGATTAAACCAAAATATAACATTTAGGTAAAAACTCAACTCGTCGTGTTTGGAGGACAAAGAATGCTGAGTTGCATCCAAAGAACACCATACCTACTGTGAAGCATGGGGGTGGAAACATCATGCTTTGGGGCTGTTTTTCTGCAAAGGGACCAGGACGACTGATCCGTGTAAAGGAAAGAATGAATGGGCCATGTATCGTGAGATTTTGAGTGAAAACCTCCTTCCATCAGCAAGGGCATTGAAGATGAAACGTGGCTGGGTCTTTCAGCATGACAATGATCCCAAACACAAGGCCCAGGCAACGAAGGAGTGGCTTTGTAAGAAGCATTTCAAGGTCCTGGAGTGGCCTAGCCAGTCTCCAGATCTCAACCCCATAGAAAATCTTTGGAGGGAGTTGAAAGTCCGTGTTGCCCAGCGACAGCCCCAAAACATCACTGCTCTAGAGGAGATCTGCATGGAGGAATGGGCCAAAATACCAGCAACAGTGTGTGAAAACCTTGTGAAGACTTACAGAAAATGTTTTACCTGTGTCATTGCCAACAAAGGGTATATAACAAAGTATTGAGAAACTTTTGTTATTGACCAAATACTTATTTGCAAATAAATTCATAAAAAATCCTACAATATGATTTTCTGGATTTTTTTTCCTCATTTTGTCTGTCATAGTTGCCGTGTACCTATGATGAAAATTACAGGCCTCTCTCATCATTTTAAGTGGGAGAACTTGCACAATTGGTGGCTGACTAAATACTTTTTTCCCCCACTGGAAATAAGTGTCAGACATCTATGGGTCTGCTCAGTAACATCCCAGGGAATTCACTGCCCCAATGTATGTGTAATTTTTTACATGCTGTAAGGAGCCGTTTGGAGTATTCGGAGAGTGGAACATTAGCTGTATGCAAGCTAAGACTGCGACACGAATATTCAATGATGAACATCCCATTCTCATCCTTACATTCGTCCCCCTCCCTCTAAGAAATGTCTTCATTTCATGAATTCAACACTATACTTGTTTAGGAAAAAGAAAATTGGAACATTTCAATGTTTAATTTGTTGATACATGATGATACAAAACAAATCTGACAGTCAAGAGATAGCCTGCATGAAAAGCATGGTTTGATTCACACACAAACAAAATGCAGTTACTTTTTATTTATTTTTTAACAGCTCCAGTTAAACACAAAATGCTACTGACAAAATACGAAATATCAATAGCCAATACACCAACAGTGTAAATGTGAGTGACCACCTTGATTTGGTCTTATGTAGCAACATTTGAAATTGTGTTTTTTACATTGGATAAAAGCAGAGAGAGCTACAAAATGGTACATCATACACTGCATTTAAGGGAACAATGGGAAAGTAATTCTACTTTGAAAGTTGATGAACTTGTAATCTCACTTTTGAGAAAATGGCCTTTGAATGTTTTAGTGAAGAGCTCTTCTTTGTCTACACCCATTCAGCATCGTTCACACCCTCTTAAGCTTTTGTCCCACCCATCTCGGAGCGCTCTCGGAGCGCACACTTGACGCTCTGGTCAATGAGTAGGGTTGATCGGAGCTATCTGACCTCACAACGGCAGTCAAGCACCCAAGCTAACTGGCTAACATCGGCTATCTTGCTATTTACTTTCAGACACAAAATTGGGATTATGGTTCATTTTTTACCTCTGGATAACATGAAAACAGCCTAACCAGCTCTGCTGTCAACAATTTAATTCCACTTTTTTGCCGACGTTTACTGACACCGGCCATATTCAACGGGTGTTGTGCGTTGCGCATACTCAGACTGAATTTACGAACGCACCCGAAATGGTTACTTGCATAGTGGAGTCTTTTGTTAAGACTAGTTAGGTAAACAACGTGTAAGATCGTACACATCACATAACGTTAGCTAGCGAGGCAGCTAACGTTAGCTACCTAGCTAAACAATGTCCCATAATCCCAACTCATGTCGTTACTACCCTGCATGAATCTGCTGGTAGCTAACCAACCAGGTTCAATGTTAGCTAGCTAACATTAGGCTCTAACTAGCCAAGCCAATGGCTCTGAGATACAAATAATAACATCAGATACGTAACGTTAGCTAGCGAGCTAGCCAGCTAACGTTAGCTAGCTAGCTAACAGTACTACTTTAACTTGAAATAAAACCACTTTCTGTCAAAATTAGAAAGGTGTAATATCTGAAATTGTAGCTAGCTAGACTATCTTGCCCTTAGTTTGAAGATGTTTTCTCCATCTCTTTAGCATCATACCCATAGGGCGGCGCACAATTGGCCCAGCGTCATCTGGGTTTTACCGGTGTAGGCCGTCATTGTAAATAAGAATTTGTTCTTAACTGACTTGCCTAGTTAAATAAAGGTAAAAAAAAAAAAACAACACTCTAATTCCACTGATTGCAAAACTCGATCCTCCAGAAAGTGGAGAGCAACACTTATGCAGCTCCACTACACAATAAAAAAAAGGTTTAAGCCGCGTTAGACTGGATTACCTACACATACTGACCAGCTCAAATTGACAGAAGCCTTCTAAATGGCAGACCAATCCAAACTCCTCTCTTCATATGTCCAGCCCACTCATTATCTCAGTCAATCATGGCAAGTGGGAAGGTTGCTGTCTTTTTCTGTGCCTTAACCAACAAGGCTCGCAATGTAACAATTCTATTCCTATTTACAGATGGCATACAAGTTTGTTATTAAGGCACATGAAAGTTCACATGTTCCAGAAAGCATTTCTGCCAAAAAACGCATTTTGATAAAAAAAAAAAGTTTAGGTTCAATTGGCTCTCTGTGAGGTAGTAACCCGCGACATACGCCTAATTTCCTGAAACGAGTCACAAATTCACATTTAGTAAATTTTTTCTCTGATAACGAACTCAATGAATTAACTTTTTCACCAAACCATCGAAGTACACGAGGATCAGGTGCAGTCTGCATGCACACAGCAGGCCCACAGTCATGTGGGAGACGCATCCCCAAGGCCTCCTTTGGTTACACATTCATACAAAAGTCACTCACACAAACAGTAGCCGGTAGCATATTTCTCCCATGCAGCACAATCCATATGCATAATCCATATGCATAATCAGCAGGTCAGATAGCAAATCAAATCAAATCAAATGTAATTTGCCACATGCACCGAAAACAACAGGTGTAGACATTACAGTGAAATGCTTACAAGCTCTTAACCAATAATGCAGTAAAAAAAAAAGTGTTAAGTGAAAAATAGATAAGCAGATAACTAAAGAGCAGCAGTAAAATAAAATAACAGTAGGGAGGCTATATACAGGGGGGTACCAGTACAGAATCAATATGCAGGGGCACCGACTAGTCGAGGTAATTGAGGAAATATGTACATGTGGGTAGAGTTAAAGTGACTATGCATAAATAATAAACAGAGTAGTAGCAGCGTAAAAGAGGGGGATGGGGTGGGGTGGGGTGGGGTGGGGTGGGGGGACAGTGCAAATAGTCTGGGTAGCCATGATTAGCTGTTCAGGAGTCTTACAGCTTGGGGATAGAAGCTGTTAAGAAGCCTTTTGGACCTAGACTTGGCGCTCCGCTTGCAGTGCGGTATCAGAGAGAACAGTCTATGACTAGGGTGGCTGGAGTCCTTGACAATTTTTAGGGCCTTCCTCTGACACCGCCTGGTGTAGAGGTCCTGGATAGCAGGAAGCTTGGCCCCAGTGATGTACTGGGCCGTACGCACTACCCTCTGTAGTGCCTTGCGGTCGGAGGCCGAGCAGTTATCATACCAGGCGGTGATGCAACCAGTCAGGATGCTCTCGATGGTGCAGCTGTATAACTTTTTGAGGATCTGAGGACCCATGCCAAATCTTTTCAGTCTCTCAACCTGTTCCACTACAGCCCCGTCAATGAGAATGGGGGCATGCTCATTCCTCTTTTTTTTCCTGTAGTCCACAATCATCTCATTTGTCTTGATCACATTGAGGGAGAGGTTGTTATCCTGGCACCTCACGGCCAGGTCTCTGACCTCCTCCCTATAGGCTGTCTCATCGTTGTCAGTGATCAGGCCTACCACTGTTGTGTCGTCGGCAAACTTAATGATGGTGTTGGAGTCGTGCCTGTCCATGCAGTCATGGGTGAACAGGTACAGGAGGGGACTGAGCAAGCACCACTGAGGGGCCCCTGTGTTGAGCACCACCTGGGGGCGGCCCTTCAGGAAGTCCAGGATCCAGTTGCAGAGGGATGTGTATAGTCCCAGGATCCTTAGCTTAGTGATGAGCTTTGCGGGCACTATGGAGTTGAACGCTGAGCTGTAGTCAATCAATAGCATTCTCACGAAGGTGTTCCTCTTGTCCAGGTGGAAAAGGGCAATGTGGAGTGCAATAGAGATTGCATCTTCTGTGGATCTGTTGGGGCGGTATGCATATTGGAGTGGGTCTAGGGTTTCTGGGACAATGGTGTTGATGTGAGCCATGACCAACCTTTCGAAGCATTTCATGGCTACAGACGTGAGTGCTACGGGTCGGTCGTCATTAAGGCAGGTTATCTTAGTGTCCTTGAGCACAGGGACTATGGTGGTCTGCTTGAAACATGTTGGTATTACAGACTCAGTCAGGGACATGTTGAAAATGTCAGTGAAGACACTTGCCAGTTGGTCAGCGCATGCTCGGAGTACACATCCTGGTAATCCGTATGGCCCTGCGGTCTTGTGAATGTTGACCTGCTTAAAAGTCTTACTCACGTCGGCTACGGAGAGCGCGATCACATAGTCATCCGGAACAGCTGATGCTCTCATGCATGCTTCAGTTTTGCTTGCCTCGAAGCGAGCATAGAAGTGATTTAGCTCGTCTGGTAGGCTTGTGTCACTGGGCAGCTCGCGGCTGTGCTTCCCTTTGTAGTCTGCAATAGTTTTCAAGCCCTGCCACATCCGACGAGTGTCAGAGCCGGTGTAGTACGATTCAATCTTAGTCCTGTATTGACTCTTTGCCTGTTTGATGGTTCGTCGGAGGGCATAGCGGGATTTCTTATAAGCGTCCGGGTTAGAGTCCCGCTCCTTGAAAGCGCGGATGTTGCCTGGAATCCATGGCTTCTGGTTGGGGTATGTATGTACGGTCACTGTGGGGACGACGTCATCGATGCACTTATTGATGAAGCCAGTGACCGATGTGGTGTACTCCTCAATGCTATCTGAAGAATCCTGGAACATATTCCAGTCTGTGCTAGCAAAACAGTCCTGTAGCTTAGCATCTGCGTCATCATACCAATTTTTTATTAACCGAGTCACTGGTGCTTCCTGCTTTAGTTTTTGCTTATAAGCAGGAATCAGGAGGATAGAGTTATGGTCAGATTTGCCAAATGGAGGGCGAGGGAGAGCTTTGTATGCGTCTCTGTGTGTGGAGTAAAGGTGGTCTAGAGTTTTTTTTCCCTCTGGTTGCACATTTAACATGCTGGTAGAAATGAGGTAGAACAGATTTAAGTTTCTCTGCATTAAAGTCCCCGGCCACTAGGAGCGCTGCCTCTGGATGAGCGTTTTCCTGTTCACTTATGGCCTTATACAGCTCATTGAGTGCAATCTTAGTGCCAGCATCGGTTTGTGATGGTAAATGGACAGCTACGAAAACTACAGATGAAAACTCTCTTGGTAAATAGTGTGGTCTACAGCTTATCATGAGATTCTCTGCCTCCGGCGAGCAAAACCTTGAGACTTCCTTAGTATTAGATTTTATGCACCAGCTGTTGTTTACAAATATACACAGACCGCCACCCCTTGTCTTACCGGAGTCAGCTGTTCCATCCTGCCGATGTAGCGTATATCCCGCCAGCTGTATGTTATCCCTGTCGTCGTTCAGCCACGACTCGGTGAAACATAAGATATTACAGTTTTTAATGTCCCGTTGGTAGGATAACCTTAATCTTAGGTCATCCAATTTGTTTTCAAATGATTGAACATTGGCTAATAGGATTGATGGAAGAGGCATTTTACTCGCTCACCGTCGGATCCTTACAAGGCACACCGACCTACGTCCACGATATCTCAGTCTCTTTCTCATGCGAATGACGGGATATGGGCCTTGTTGGGTGTCTGTAGGATATCTTTAGCGTCTGACTCGTTGAATAAATAATATTTGTCCAATACGAGGTGAGTAATCGCTGTCCTGATATCCAGAAGCTCTTTTTGGTTATAAGAGACGGTGGCAGAAATATTATGTACAGAATAAATTACAAATAACGTGAAAAACACACATAATAGTACAATTGGTTAGAGGGCTGTAAAACGGCAGCCATCTTCTCCGGCGCCATCTGTAATCGCAGAGTTCTCCCACTTGAGCGCGCCTCCATGCAGCCACGTAGTTAGAATTGTTGTCGCATCCAAGTTGTAGATTCCAAGGCTCGAGCCCGTCCAGAATGTCGGGAGAATCCCCATTCCCATTACGTCCACAAAGCAAATGAAAGGTCCAATATGTGTAAAAGTCTGGGTAAAATGTACTTAGTTGGTAATGATGTTTCAGAGATGTGGACAGTCTAGTACTCACTGTGTGCCCGTCCGACAGCTAGCAGTGAGGGAGATGATAGTGCAGAGAAAGCTGCCCACGCTCCTCTTCGTATGCTAGCTCCACAGTGCCAGTAGTGGGCCTGGCTAGCTTGAATGCAGCCTAGAGCCACAGATAGAACAATGAGCCAGATAGTTCACCAGATGTATAAATGTGAAGCATCCGGTTGGCGTTTCCACTCACTACCAAATATGGTGATGAGCGGAAGCCCTGTGGCCGGCAGTGGGAGAAGATGGAGAGAGATGGATTTTGGCCGACATTCTGCTAATTTTCTCATTGATGAAACATTTGATCTCCATACTGTTTTCTGATTCCAAAACTAGAATCTGTAAGAAACCGAGTGGACTGTGTTTTGTAGATTGACACTTCGCAAAAGTTTCTAAGAATTGAGTTGTTTGGAAGGAGTGCAAGGGCGGATTGAGTTATTGCACACGCGCACTTCACAGAGTCGGCGTTTTCTAACGGAAATATGCAAATAAATGCTAGACTGCGCCGGAAGGATCTCACTAGCTCATGCTTGGCTCTACCCACCTCCTTGCTTGTTCTGCCCACTATGATTAATTTGCTCCCATTGGAAACGACAGGCTCTGGTCTATCTTGGGTTAGTTATAAAAATCTTTGCTAGTGCGGTCACGTCACTTAAGTCCAGCAATAACTTCAGAAGACATAGGTTCCACAGATGTTAAAAACGCAAAAAAACACAGCTGCTCCCAATGTAACGCACTGTTTGGAGGGTTCGGATAGTGGAACATCAGCTACTGTAGCTTAGACTTGGAAACAAGACAGTATACGGTGTTCAACAGGACTAGACTTTATTCCAGGACATGTGACCACCATCTCAATTAGATCACGTGACACAGACAAATTTATAGACACATGTTTGGCATTAAATAATCAATGATGAACATTCAATGCTCATATTTACAATGCTTCAGGTAAATTCTTTGGACGATTGAAGAATAAAGTCACATCTAAAGCAACAGATGACCAGATTCTGGTAATGAGGCTGCAATTGATTTCTGTTTTCTGTAGAAGATGAAGTGTACATTCCCAACGAGCAAGACAGGCAGGAGTATGTGATGAACGAAAATGGCTGCATATACCAGGTGGAATCAGGTGGTGGAAGGCAATGGTTTTATGGTCAGGTACAGTAAAAGACTACATACACATGCCCCACACACACACACACACACACACACTGATCCGATACTGTAATATACTGTATACTTTACACACACATTTACAGTTGTGTCTTTATTGTTCCTTTTTTTGAGGCTGGAGACTCTATTTCTCTCTTGTAGTTTGGGGAAGGGATTCTCGATGCTTGTTTCCAAATCTTGGATAACTCACACATGCCTCTAGTAAACAGAGGCGATGTTGTCAAAGTCTGCAGGATAGGAGCTGCAATGGTGAGTGATATTTGCAGATAACATAAGCACACTACACAAATTCCAAAACGAGCCCTAGTATATTATAAGCACTAAGAAGAGCCAAGTGCTTTTCACAACCACAAGACATACCAAGCATTTAACCTGTACTTCAGTCTGCATTCACAGAATGTGATTTGCAGTAGATACGGTACATATGCGTATTTAATGAGATATTGCCTCATTTGCATATATTTATATAATATTTCAGAAAAATAAAAAGGTATAGTTGTGTCTACATTCAACTGGTAAAAGTTGATAGTGATATGAAGTTAGGAAAATATTACCTGTTTGGGATGTGGTATCTGGGCTTATTTAAGCACTCAATATCCGTTTGCGTGCTTTTATCAACTTACTCTGAACATTTAATTCCAAACTAACATATCCTTATGCCTGGGGTACTGATCTCTTTGGGGGTTTTTTGGTCAATATCTTTCCATTCCTTGTGGAACCAGATGAATTCCCAAGATGACCACGGGGTCTTGGTGGGCAACTGGAGTGATGACTACTCCCTTGGCACTGCACCAACCTTCTGGATTGGCAGCGACCAGATCCTGCTCCAGTACGCCAACCAAGGGCCTGTCAGCTATGCCCAGTGCTGGGTCTACGCCGGGACATTGAACACCTGTGAGTGCCCCATCAAATACCCTTTAAATTTTCAATTTCAGTTAACCTTAATATGCCAACCCCACAATAAAAGTAATGTGTCTCCCAAATCACCTGTGTTTTGCACTGAGGGATTGATGGTCAATAGAACACAGGCCTATCCGGTTATAAACCGCGGTTTTCAACAAAGAAAGGTTGCCTTTATGTTCAGTGGAGATAAATCAATCTGCAGCGCATTTATCACTTACAATGCACTTAAATGACTAAAATGTAAATGTAAAATACTTATTTACTTACTTTCTAAATGTAATCAGTTACAATTACTAGTTACCTGTCCAACATTTCTCCCTGCAATAGATCATGCTGGGAAATATTATACAGTGCCTTCAGAAAGGTATTCATGATCCTTGACTTATTCCACATTTTGTTGTGTTACAGCCTGAATTCAAAATGGATTAAATAGTATATATTTTTCACCCATCTACACACAATACCCCATAATGACAAAGTGAAAACATGTTTTTAGAAATGTTTGCAAATATCGCATTTACAGAGGTATTCACACCCCTGAGTTAATACATGTCAGAATCACATTTGGCAGCGATTATAGCTGTGAGTCTTTCTGTATATTTGCCCATTATTCTTTAAAAGATTATTCAGGCTCTGTCAAATTCGTTGTTGATCATTGCTAGACAACCATTTTCAAGTCTTGCTATAGATTTTCAAGCAGATTTAAGTCAAAACTTTAACTCGGCCACTCAGGAACATTCGTTGTATTCTTGGTAAGCAACTCCAGTGTAGATTTGGCCTTGTGTTTTAGGTTATTGTCCTGCTGAAAGTTGAATTCATCTCCCAGTGTCTGGTAGAAAGCAGACTGTATCAGGTTTTCCTCTAGGATTTTGCCTGTGCTTAGCTCCATTCTGTTTATTTTTTATCCTGAAAAACTCCCCAGTCCTTAACGATTACAAGCAAACCCATAACATGATGCAGCCACAACTATGCCTTTAAATATGGAGAGAGGTACCCAGTAATGTGTTGTATTGGATTTTCACTTAACATAACATTTTTATTCAGGACAAAAAGGTAATCGTACAGGCTTCCTTCTTTTCACATTAGGTTAGTATTGAGGAGTAACTACAATGTTATTGAGCCATCCTCAGTTTTCTCCTATCACAGCCATTGGCCTCATGGTGAAATCCCTGTGCGGTTTCCTTCCTCTCCGGCAACTGAGTTAGGAAGGACGCCTGTATCTTTGCAGTGACTGGGTGCATTGACACCCCATCCAAAGTGTAATTAATAACTCCACCATACTCAAAGGGATATTCATTCATTTTTTACCTATCTACCAATAGGTCCCTTCTTTGCGAGGCATTGGAAAACCTCCCTGATCTTTGTGGTTGAATCTGTGTTTGAAATCCACTGCTTGACTGAGGGACCTTACAGATAATTGAATGTATGGGGTACAGAGAGGTTTTCATTCAAAAATCATGTTAAACACTATTATTGCACACAGAGTGAGTCCATGCAACTTATTATGTGACTTGTTAAGTACATCTTTACTGATGAACTTATTTAGGAGCAGTGGCGTGTATTCATGGATGCCAAGGGAAGCCAGGCTTCTGCTAAAAATTGATAAAAAATAAAAAATAAGGTATCTTTCGTCTCTGTGTTTCATAATTTTCCTTTTAATTCGCAAGAGGCTGAATGTATCTCACAGGAGAAAGGCATCCGGGCGAGCGAAATAGCGCCCCTCTGTCTCTCTACGTTGTCACGATCGTCATAATGATTGGACCAAGGCGCAGCGTGATATGCGTACATCTTTTTAATAGTGTACTGGCAACACGATACAAAATACAAAACAACCAAACGCAACGTGAAGTCCTCGGTTAACAACACAAACCAACACGGAACAAGATCCCACAAAACACAAGTGCACAACAGGCTGCCTAAGTATAGTTCCCAATCAGAGACAACAAGCAACAGCTGATTCTCGTTGCCTCTGATTGAGAACCACCCCGGCCAACATAGAAACACATAACCTAGAATAGAACATAGAAAACGAAACATAGACACTACACAAAGAAACTAACACCCTGGCTCAACATACAAGAGTCCCCAGAGCCAGGGCGTGACAGTACCCCCCCCTAAGGCGCGGACTGCGACCGCGCCAACATAAACCCAACAGGGGAGGGGCCGGGTGGGCATTCCACCTCGGAGGCAGATCCGGCTCCGGGCGTGACCACCACCCTCTAACAACCCCCCAGTAGCGCCCCTGGTCTGGTCTGGCTCCGCTGGCTGGAGCTGGACTGGACATCGGTGGAGCGGATTGCTTAGGCTCCGGTGTGGAGCAGCTGACCGGTACCTGACCAGGCACCGGTGAAGCAGGCACGGGCTGTGCCGGACTGACGACGCGCACCACAGGCTTGGTGCGGGGAGCAGGTACGGGCCGGACCGGGCTGGCGATGCGCACCACAGGCTTGGTGCGGGGAGCAGGAACAGGCCGGGCCGGGCTGGCGACGCGCACCATAGGCTTGGTGCGGGGAGCAGGAACAGGCCGGGCCGGGCTGGCGACGCGCACCATTGGCTTGGTGCGGGGAGCAGGAACAGGCCGGGCCGGGCTGGCGACGCGCACCATTGGCTTGGTGCGAGGGGCAGGAACAGGCCAGACCGGGCTGGCGACGCGCACCACAGGCTTGGTGCGGGGAGCAGGAACGGGCCGGACCGGGCTGACGTCGCGCACCACTGGCTTGGTACAGGGAGCAGGAACAGGCCGGACCGGGCTGACGTCGCGCACCACTGGCTTGGTGCGGGGAGCAGGAACGGGCCGGACCGGGCTGACGACGCGCACCACAGGCTTGGTGCGGGGAGCAGGAACAGGCCGGGCTGGCGACGCGCACCATTGGCTTGGTGCGGGGAGCAGGTAGAGGCCGGGCCGGGCTGGCGACGCGCACCATTGGCTTGGTGCGGGGAGCAGGTAGAGGCCGGGCCGGGCTGGCGACGCGCACCATTGGCTTGGTGCGAGGGGCAGGAACAGGCTGGGCCGGGCTGGCGACGCGCACCATAGGCTTGGTGCGAGGGGCAAGAACAGGTCGGACCGGGCTGGCGACGCGCACCATTGGCTTGGTGCGAGGGGCAGGAACAGGCCGGGCCGGGCTGGTGACGCGCACCAAAGGCTTGGTGCGGGGAGCAGGAACAGGCCGGGCCGGGCTGGCGACCCGCACCATTGGCTTGGTGCGGGGAGCAGGAACAGGCCGGGCCGGGCTGGCGACCCGCACCATTGGCTTGGTGCGAGGGGCAGGAACAGGCCAGACCGGGCTGGCGACGCGCACCACAGGCTTGGTGCGGGGAGCAGGAACGGGCCGGACCGGGCTGACGTTGCGCACCACTGGCTTGGTACGGGGAGCAGGAACGGGCCGGACTGGGCTGACGTCGCGCACAACTGGCTTGGTGCGGGGAGCAGGAACGGGCCGGACCGGGCTGACGACGCGCACCACAGGCTTGGTGCGGGGAGGAGGAACAGGCCGGGCCGGGCTGGCGACGCGCACCATTGGCTTGGTGCGGGGAGCAGGTAGAGGCCGGGCCGGGCTGGCGATGCGCACCATTGGCTTGGTGCGGGGAGCAGGTAGAGGCCGGGCCGGGCTGGCGACGCGCACCATTGGCTTGGTGCGAGGGGAAGGAACAGGCCGGGCCGGGCTGGCGACGCGCACCATAGGCTTGGTACAGGGAGCAGGAACAGGCCGGGCCGGGCTGGCGACGCGCACCATTGGCTTGGTGCGAGGGGCAGGAACAGGCTGGGCCGGGCTGGTGACGCGCACCATAGGCTTGGTGCGAGGGGCAGGAACAGGTCGGACCGGGCTGGGGACGCGCACCATTGGCTTGGTGCGAGGGGCAGGAACAGGCCGGGCCGGGCTGGCGACGCGCACCAAAGGCTTGGTGCGGGGAGCAGGAACAGGCCGGGCCGGGCTGGCGACCCGCACCATAGGCTTGGTGCGGGGAGCAGGAACAGGCCGGGCCGGGCTGGCGACGCATACCATAGGCTTGGTGCGGGGAGCAGGATTAGGCCGGGCCGGGCTGGCGACGCACACCATAGGCTTGGTGCGGGGAACAGGAACAGGCCGGACTGGGCTGTGGAGACGGACTGGAGGTCTGGAGCGAAGAGCTGACACAACCCGTCCTGGCTGAATGCCTACTTTTACACACTCTGTGTGAGGCTTCAGCACAGGACGTACAGGGCTGTGTACTCGTACTGGCACTACAGCACGTGACACTGGCGCAGGATATCCGGGACGAGCGTCCTGGCTGCATGCCCACCTTAGCACGACACGTGCGTGGTGCTCGCACAGGACGTACCGGACTGTGCCGGACCACTCGCGGCACAGTACGCAGCTCCGCATACCTCGGAACCTGCCCAGTCTCACGCTGCCTAGCCTGAGTACGGGGAGTTGGCTCTGCTCTACCTCTAGGCTCCGCCAACCTCCCTTCCAGCCCCCCAAACCCGGTGGTCTCCTCTCCTAATCCACAAACTCGCCCAGTATCTGCCTCCAGCAGCCCCGTCGTCCATGCCGTGTGCCCCCCCCAAAAAATGTATTGGGGTTGCCTCTCGCCTGTCCGACGACGGCCCGGTTGGCGCCGCTTCTCCTCTCCTGCCTGGGTCTCCCCCTTCATCGCCCTCCGGTAACGGACGGCCTCCTCCTCCGTGATCTGCCCCCAACCGAGGAGGACATCCACTAACGTTACCTCCGGCGTTTGCTCCTGGACACGCTGCTTGGTCCTGTTAAGGTGGGCTCTTCTGTCACGATCGTCATAATGATTGGACCAAGGCGCAACGTGATATGCGTACATCTTTTTAATAGTGTACTGGCAACACGATACAAAATACAAAACAACCAAATGAAACGTGAAGTCCTCGGTTAACAACACAAACCAACACGGAACAAGATCCCACAAAACACAAGTGCACAACAGGCTGCCTAAGTATGGTTCCCAATCAGAGACAACAAGCAACAGCTGATTCTCGTTGCCTCTGATTGAGAACCACCCCGGCCAACATAGAAACACATAACCTAGAACAGAACATAGAAAACGAAACATAGACACTACACAAAGAAACTAACACCCTGGCTCAACATACAAGAATCCCCAGAGCCAGGGCGTGACATACGTGTAGGCCATCTATCTGATGCTTTCTGGTTCAAACAAGTATGACATTGTTGCTGCCCATAGCATCGAAGGAAAGGGAAGCCAGTGAGCATCTGGCTCCCTTGACAAAAAAAGTATAAAACATTTGCCAATCAGCGTTGAGCTAAACTGAGCGAGCTCAACTGTGAATGGTCCTGGCGCACCCAAAAAAAAGTGTCAAGGGAAACCAGCTTGAATTTGGCATCACTCCTATCAAATCCCATTGAGAGCATACCTCATTGACAGAAAAACTTGAATTTTTGCATCTCGTTGTGGTGTTGTCCTCCGGTGGCTAGCTAGCCAGCCAGCTAAAATTGGCCCTTTCCTAAATTTGCCATGGATGGAAATAGGGATTTGGATTTGTGGTTTAACTTATTTCTCCGTACTGGCCTATGATTATAATGACGATTCTGATCTAACCATTAAGTCATACATTGTTGTGCCCCTGGCCTGAGAGAATGGAAGTTCAATATGTAGCTAGATGTAGAAGGATAATGTTAACTAGCTAACGTTGCCCATGAATGGAAGTTAGGCTAGCGAGCAAGCATTTCAGCCAGGTTGCCTAGGACCACAAAAAATGTAAGCCTGTACTGTATGATAGAGTGATTGTCAACATGAAAGAGAGGAGGATGGCATTGGCCTTTCTCTACAAGTAGGGTGAGTCAACATGTTTTTCTACTTGCAAGAACGTGCACGCACACACACAGAAATCAGAACCATGGACAGCCACATCATAGTTAGCTTACGTTGATTGGACTAAATAGTTTTTGGTATCTTTTAGTTGTCACTGTATTAGACTAAGCAGAGGTGATTTGATGATGTTGAAATGTTGAAGTTGAAATGGTGCTGGAATAGTGGAGGCAGCTCCTGTTTTCTTTGCAACTTGCGGTAACTCTCTGTGGTTCTAAATCAATAGTTGTTTAGTGGTCCGAAAATGTCGGAAACATTAACTTGCTCGCGTAAGTAATTTAACTCTCTGTTCCTGTACATGCAATATGCTTTGTGGACTTCACTGGACAGAGGGTGCTATCTGGTTTTGTGATAAAACAAAGGTGTGGTTGAATTTTTTCTGCCACTGTGTCTTCTTAATGTCTCGGCCAAGGCATTTGAATTAACAGGTTATAGCGCAAACAACACAATTATCACAACACAAAGGTTGTAATATGCCTTGTTATAGGCTTGGCTTCACCAGTGATTTTACCATAACAAAAGGGTTGAAGACTTATTGACTCAAGACATTTCAGCTTTTCAGTTTTTTATTAATTTGTAAACAGTTCATACAACTTTTACATTATGGGGTATTGTGTTTAGGCAAGTGACAAAAACATTCTCAATATAATCCATTTTAAATTTTGGCTATAACACAACAAAATGTGGAAAAAGTCAAGGGTGTGAACACTTTCTGAAGGCTTCCAAAGAATCATCAAAGAAGCGTTTAACATCCTAGTATAAACTCCAGTGGGCAATCGAGATAAGACCAACAACCACCGATATAAACCAAAATGTGACATTTTTAGAATTGTATTGTTTGATAGCATTTTTAATACAGGTCTATAGAAAAGGGAATAAACCATTTATAATTATAAGTAATTTTCACACATGAAACCATCAACGATCAATATTTGCATTTTAATTTCATAATCTTATAACAATATCACATTTGTTTGCTCAATTAATTGTGCATGCTCAATTTTTTAAGCATATAAATAGTTGAAAGTAGATGAAGCCAGTAGGCTAGGCAACAATGTCTTTCTCTGTCTGTCTGTTTCTTTGTCTGTCTGGTCTTTCTGTAGTGCAGAACTGTCCAAGATAATGTCTAGTCAGCTGTCAAACTATTAATACAACAGTGCCCAGAGTGCCTCTTTGTACACTTGCTATATTCTATATATTAAGTGTACTACCTAAGTACTAAACTCTCTCTCTCCTTGCTTCCTCTCTCTCTCGCTGTCTCCTCTGCCTCCTCCTCCATTGCAGCCTGCTTCAGACTCACCACTGTCTGCCTCACCACTGTCTGTCTCACTACTCTCAGTTTTAAAAATAGATTTTTATATACAGAATAATATTACATTGTATTTATATTTAAATTGTCTTTATATTTCACAAAATGTTAGGTCCCACAGGCTGTCCCACTCCCAACACATAATAATATTAAAGTGCATTCTAACAGTGTAAAAGGCCCTTAGTTGACTCCAAAATGTTGTATTCCATAATCTATACCCATTTGAAGAGAAACAAGTTATTAATGTGTTTGATAAGATTACAGATTCTTTCAGGGGACTCATTTAAATTGCAGTTGACCCCGGGTTTGGAACAACTGTACTACTAACCTCTCTCTTCTTGCTTCGTCTCTCTCTGTGTCTCCTTTTCTTCCTGTATTGCAGCCTGCCTCACCACTCTCTGTCTCACTACTCTCTGTAAAGCAAAGTTATTTTGCTATCAGAATTTATAGTATCCTATCTTTTGCTAAGATTATAGCTAGCTTAATTTCAGTCAACTGCTCCTGCTGAGGTCAGGCTCCATTGAACGTTAGTTTCTAACTCCATCTTTCTAGCCAGCTAGTTATAGCTAGCTAGCTGGCTAACAGTAGCCAGAGCCTTGAGCGAACTATACTGAGCAAAAATATAAACACAACATGTAAAGTGTGGTAAAAGATCCCAGAAATGTTCCATATGCACAAAAAGCTTATTTCTCGCAAATTTGATGCACAAATTTGTTTGCATCCCTCTTAGTGAGCATTTCTCATTTGCAAAGATAATCCATCCACCTGACAGGTGTGGCATATCTAGAAGCTGATTAAACAGCATGATCATTACACAGGTGCACCTTGTGCTGGGGGCAATAAAAGACCACTCTAAAATGTGCAGTTTTGTCACACAATACAATGTTACAGAAGTCTACAAGTTTTGAGGAGAGTGTGCAATTGGCATGCTGACTGCAGAAATGTCCACCAGAGCTGTTGCCAGAGAATTTAATGTTCATTTCTCTACCATAAGCCATCATCGTTTTAGAGAATTTGGCAAAACGTCCAACCGGCCTCACAATTGCAGACCACGTGTAACCCTGCCAGTCCAGGGCCTCCACATCTGCCTTCTTTCCCTGTGGGATCGTCTGAGATCAGCCACCCAGACAGCTGAGGAAACTGAGGAGTATTTCTGTATGCAATAAAGCCCTTTTGTGGGGAAAAAGTCATTCTGATTGGCTGGGCCTGGCTCACCAGTGGTTGAGGCCCAGCCCGAGTGGAGTGGGTGGGCCTATGCCCTACCAGGCCCACCCATGGCTGCGCCCCTGTCATGTGAAATCCATAGATTTGGGCCTAATTTATTTATTTAAATTGACTGATTTCCTTATATGAACTGTAACTGTAAAATCGTTTGAAATTGTTTCCTGTTGCGTTTATATTTTTGTTCAGTATAGCTAGCTAGCTAGCCACCTGACTGAAATACCAGCGACTATTTACCAGACCAGTTGTACACTCACTCTCCGAGAGTCAGGTTTTTTTGTTTAAAGGATGTCAGTTGACACGGCAGGGGGGAGCAGGTGAACATAACGAGGATACCTGAAACATGATTCCACTCGTTCGCAGAGAGGCAGGTGCAATTAGAACTCAAAGAATATTAGCGTTCTGGGCATTGATCAATGCTGGCAACGCAACAATAAGTGGGTAAACGATTATTAACAAACTATAAAGGTGAGTAAACGCTATTTCACTAATAAAAAGGTGCGTAAATGTCATTTACGTGCGTTTACCCTCCACTGCATCCCTGGTTGCATCATTCCTTGAACGGAGGTAGACAAAGGCGTATAAGTCCCCTTTGTATAGGCACGTGATTCCTCAAAAGGAAAATAATAGTTGAGATGCAACTGCTTACATAATGCACAGAGAGCAAAAACCTTGCCTCGGGCTATGCTAGCTTCAACTTAGAATGTGTGTCAGATCTCGCACCATACGTGACTATCACACCACAGCTGAGCACTCCCAATCTCAAATCTCATCTAGCTGACTGTGTGAATGGACACAGATAAATATTAAAGAAGATGTAAATTCCTTAATACAAACTAACTGATTACAATAAAGCTATGTTTGCATCCTATAGAGGCCATTTGTTTTCTTGGAGTCAGTCCCTTAGAGGGATATTAGTTATTTTGAGATGATTAGCATGTGTGCTATCTAGATTAGAACATGCTAACAGGAGTCCTACCATCTCCACTGTTTTGCACCTATAGATGCTAATGCTAAGCCGTAGCTCAATACTGCTTTCTGACTAGTCTGGCCCATAGGCCACTTTCTAGGTATGCATAAGATGTGGAAAATGTGTAATTAAGGTGAACAAACCCCAAAGCCCATTTCCCACTGACAGAAAAAAATAGGAAGCAGTTTCCTCACACAAGGCCCGCTGCTGTGCAAATCAAACACACTTCTGAAAGTGATATCCGGAAATCTACTATCATCAATTGATTGAATACATTGAATGTATTACTTACAAATGTATTCCAGTTAACGACTGCATGTTAATTGATATACACTACCATTAGTGTATGCTTATTTTTAAGTATTGCCTAGACTCTTTAATGGTTTCCCCTCCCCTGCCCCAGTGCTGAGGTGTCTGGGCATCCCTGCCAGGGTGGTCACCAACTTCAACTCCGCCCACGACAACACAGGGAACATAATCACGGATCTCATCTTCAACTCTGTGGGAAATCGACTTGAACTGAACGAGCGCCTTACCAGGGACTCTATCTGGTAGTTATATTTCTGCTTATTCATTTGTATTGAATCCCAGAATGTAGGTTTCTATATCTTCTATATTTACAGTATATCTTTCACTGTACCTACTGTAAAAACAGTTTAGTCAAGTAGCATGGTGGGTCGTGTTAGTCATGTAGCATGGTGGGTCGTGTTCCAAATGGAAGAAAATGGTTGTGCAGGATGCCAGATAGTGTACCTGAGTGGTGCAGGATGCCAGATAGTACACTTGAGTGGTACAGGATGCCAGATAATGTGAATGAGTAGTGCAGGAGGCCAGATAGTGTTCCTGAGTGGTGCAGGGTGAAAGATTGTGTACTTGAGTGGTTCAGGATGCCAGATATTGTTCCTGAGTGGTGCAGGACACCAAATAGTGTACCTGAGTGGTGCAGTATGCCAGATATTGTTCCTGATGGGTGCAGGATGCCAGATAGTGTTTGTGAGAGGTGGGCATTTTCTCCACAGGAACTACCACTGCTGGAACGAGGCTTACATGTCCAGACCTGACCTCCCCGCAATCCATGACTTAGGTGGCTGGCAGGTGGTGGATGCCACCCCTCAGGAAACCAGTGATGGTAAGAGAGAAAATAAGATAATTAAGTAGGGCCCACACACATTATAGCTATACGATGGGAGAGGGAGACATCATTTTCACTTCTTTATGCACATTTTGTAGAATGGGCTTCAAAATTGCATTGTCACATTTATGAAAACGCATCCATTTAAGATACAGTGGGGTCCATAATTATTGGCACCCTTGATAAAGATGAGCAAAAAAGTCTGTATAAAATAAATAATAAAAATACAGAGGTATATTGTATACTCCAAAAATTGGGAAATTATATTATTTTATACAAATACAGTTGCTCAGAGAAAGAGATTTTATTTTATTTAGTAATACAAATAAATAAAAAACATAGGGGTCAAAATGATTAAACCACTGTTTTCAGTAGTCCAGCATCCTACCCTTGTTAGGATAACAACACTGAGCCTTTTTCTGAAATGTTTTATGAGATTGGAGTACAGATTGGGAGGGATCTTAGACCATTCCTCCATACAGAATCTTACCAGATCCTTGATTTCCTTATGGACTGCCCTCTTCAACCCAGTGTCCAAAAACTGAGTCTCCGTCGAAGGTTGTGGGTCTTTCAGCAGGACAACAACCCCAAACACATCACAAAGCACCCAGAAATGGTTCAAGATGAAACGCTGGACTGTTCTGGAGTGGAGTTGAGTCTGAACCCATCAAACCTATGGCGAGATCTGAAAACAGCAGTTGGTCAAAGGCACCCGTTAAACATTGCAGAATTTGAATAGCTTGCAGCTGAAAAGTGGGTCATACCTCCAGTAAAAGGTGCAGCAAGCTCATTGATAGCTACAATACGCTTTTGATAGGCAGTTATCTTGGCCAAAAGCTGTGCAATATTAGCTCTTGTTTGCTAATCATTTTTTTCCATGCCATTTCAGCAAAAGTTTTTTTCAATTTCAACTTATTTTAGAGGAAATGGGATATTATTTATAAAAGTGCAAGGGTGCCAATATATTTACCGTAACTGTATAGCCGTTTCTTAAAATTAATAAAATGAAGAAAATGGCTCTGAAAAGCATTGATTGCATCTTGAAAATGTTTGTTAGGTTATTTAATAACGTCCAGAATCTCCTGGCTTTTTGGAGAATGTAGCAATGGCCTTATAACTAATAAAATCCGTTTCCAATAGCATTGCTATATTCTACAAAAATGCCACTCAATACATTGTATATAATGCTAAATAACCAGCTAACGAATAAAAAAACGAGTTGGATGAAACAACAGCACCCTAGGGAATTCGAAAATAAGCTATTATATTTTTAAAAAATGAACTATCCCTTTAAACGTCAAACAGACAGTGTCATACATGGGTTGTTGACATTGTTTTTGCAGGATATTACCGCTGTGGACCTTGCTCTGTCAAAGCCATCAAGAAAGGAATGCTCGGCTATCAATTTGATGCCCCGTTTGTGTTTGCTGAGGTAAAACAATATGTTTTCGTTGAGCTTAACCAGTAACACTGTTACACCATAATGCCTTCATGGTGTATGCACACTTATGCTTTATAACTTTTTTATTACGCACACTCGCAATACATTTTATTTATTTAGAATCAATCACAATATTCGCATTTATTAATTTTATTTTAACCTCAGGTGAATAGCAACGTTCACCACCACAAGCTAGACACACGAACTGGGAGAACCGAGTTACAACAAGTGGACACAACCTATATCGGCAAGAAAGTAGTGACGAAGTCCGTTGGTGGAAACAATTATGAGCCAATGGACATTACACAGACATACAAATACCCAGAAGGTATGTGGCACCTGGACAAGGGAGGGGGCTGGCAAAGGTGCAACTGCACATTTAAAGTTACATTTTCATAAAAATGTGTTTGTTATTGGCAGTTTGTACATTTTCTCATTAAACTAATGCAACAAGAATTAAGTATAGAAATGACTATGCTATTACTGTTTTTGAAATTACTTTTCAATTACTGCTGTATCGATGCAGTAACATACTGTATACAGTGGGGAGAACAAGTATTTGATACACTGCCGATTTTGCAGGTCTTCCTACTTACAAAGCATGTAGAGGTCTGTAATTTTTATCATAGGTACACTTCAACTGTGAGAGACAGAATCTAAAACAAAAATCCAGAAAATCACATTGTATGATTTTTAAGTAATTAATTTGCATTTGATTATTTATCAGAAAAGCAGAACTTAATATTTGGTAGAGAAACCTTTGTTTGCAATTACAGAGATCATATGTTTCCTGTAGGTCTTGACCAGGTTTGCACACACTGCAGCAGGGATTTTGGCCCACTCCTCCATACAGACCTTCTCCAGATCCTTCAGGTTTCGGGGCTGTCGCTGGGCAATATGGACTTTCAGCTCCCTCCAAAGATGTTCTATTGGGTTCAGGTCTGGAGACTGGCTAGGCCACTCCAGGACCTTGAGATGCTTCTTACGGAGCCACTCCTTAGTTGCCCTGGCTGTGTGTTTCGGGGCGTTGTCATGCTGGAAGACCCAGCCACGACCCATCTTCAATGCTCTTACTGAGGGAACGAGGTTGTTGGTCAAGATCTCGCGATACATGGCCCCATCCATCCTCCCCTCAATACGGTGCAGTCGTCCTGTCCCCTTTGCACAAAAGCATCCCCAAAGAATGATATTTCCACCTCCATGCTTCACGGTTGGGATGGTGTTCTTGGGGTTGTACTCATCCTTCTTCTTCCTCCAAACACGGCGAGTGGAGTTTAGACCAAAAAGCTCTATTTTTGTCTCATCAGACCACATGACCTTCTCCCATTCCTCCTCTGGATCATCCAGATGGTCATTGGCAAACTTCAGACGGGCCTGGACATGCGCTGGCTTGAGCAGGGGGACCTTGCGTGCGCTGCAGGATTTTAATCCATGACGGCGTAGTGTGTTACTAATGGTTTTCTTTGAGACTGTGGTCCCAGCTCACTTCAAGTCATTGACCAGGTCCTGCCGTGTATTTCTGGGCTGATCCCTCACCTTCCTCATGATCATTGATGCCCCACGAGGTGAGATCTTGCGTGGAGCCCCAGACTGAGGGTGATTGACCGTCATCTTGAACTTCTTCCATTTTCTAATAATTGCGCCAACAGTTGTTGCCTTCTCACCAAGCTGCTTGCCTATTGTGCTGTAGCCCATCCCAGCCTTGTGCAGGTCTACAATTTTATCCCTGATGTCCTTACACAGCTCTCTGGTCTTGGCCATTGTGGAGAGGTTGGAGTCTGTTTGATTGAGTGTGTGGACAGGTGTCTTTTATACAGATAACGAGTTCAAACAGGTGCAGTTAATACAGGTAATGAGTGGAGAACAGGAGGGCTTCTTAAAGAAAAACTAACAGGTCTGTGAGAGCCGGAATTCTTACTGGTTGGTAGGTGATCAAATACTTATGTCATGCAATAAAATGCAAATTATTACTTAAAAATCATACAATGTGATTTTCTGGATTTTTGTTTTAGATTCCGTCTCCCACAGTTGAAGTGTACCTATGATAAAAATTACAGACCTCTACATGCTTTGTAAGTAGGAAGACCTGCAAAATCGGCAGTGTATACAAAAACTTTGTCTCCCCACTGTATATATGTTTTCCTATAGGTGAAGTTAAATATCAGTCCCATGGTTGTTTTTTTAAGGAGTGGGGCAGTCCCACTCTCGTAATCTTCTGTCTATTTTATGTAATAGAGAGAGAGAAAAGATAGAAGAGATAGTTGCTAAATTAGCAGTGGGCCGGATTCAAACCGTTGCTGCAGCGATAAATGTGTTCCGAAGAGAGCGGTTTAGATCACTAGACCACTCTAGGCCACCAGTCCCATGTTAACTCTATTCCCCTCCATCTCCCCACACATGCACAGGCAGCAGTAAGGATAAAGAGACCATGAAGAATGCCGAGAGAACCTACAAGCTACGTATGCAAGACGACGACGAGCAGGAGATCCCACAGGCTAACGTGGAGATGACGCTGGAGACACCAGTGGAGCCGGTGATGATTGGCCATGACTTCCAGATGGCTGTGGTCTTCAGGAACCTTAGTGAAGACACACGCACCATCCATGGCTTCCTGGTGGGCTCCACGGTGTACTACACCAACATCCAAAGAGCTCAGTTCAAGCAGGAGAGCTTTGACGTCACTCTGAACCCCATGGAGAGTGAGTGGAAACCGGGGTGACCCTTTACATACGTACTGTACTGTATGTCTTTATAGGCTTGAGAATGTCTCCATGTATCACAACTTTGTACGATAGTCCTGCAAAGCTTTCAGACCACTCCTCTGAAATAAAATACTCAACTGCTTATAGAAAATGCTTTACTTTACAGTCCTTTTACAGCTTTATGGTACCGTCCTGTTTCAGCAGGTACAGTATGTGTGTACAGTGCCTTGCAAAAGTATTCATCCCCCTTGGTGTTTTTCCTATTTTTTTGCATCACAACCTGTAATTTAAATGGATTTTTATTTGTATATCATGTAATGCACATACACAAAATAGTAGAAATTGGTGAAGTGAAATGAAAAAAATTACTTGTTTCAAAAAAGTCTAAAAAATAAATAACGGAAAAGTGGTGCGTGCATATGTATTCACCCCCTTTGCTATGAAGCCCCTAAATAAGATCTGGTGCAACCAATTACCTTCAGAAGTCACATAATTAGTTAAATAAAGTCCACCTGTGTGCAATCTAAGTGTCACATGATCTGTTCTGAAAGGCCCCAGAGTCTGCAACACCATTAAGCAAGGGGCACCACCAAGCAAGCGGCACCATGAAGACCAAGGAGCTTTCCAAACAAGACAGGGACAAAGTTGTGGAGAAGTACAGATCAGGGTTGGGTTATAAACAAATATACAAAACTTTGAATATCCCACGGAGCACCATTAAATCCATTATAAAAAAATTGAAAGAATACGGCACCACAACAAACCTGCCAAGAGAGGGCCGCCCACCAAAACTCACCAAAACTCACGGACCAGGCAGAGAGGCAACAAAGAGACCAATGATAACCACAGCGGAGATTGGAGTATCTGTCCATAAGACCACTTTAGGCCGTACACTCCACAGATCTGGGTTTTACGGAATTGTGGCTAGAAAAAGCCATCACTTAAAGAAAGAAATAAGCAAACATGTTTGGTGTTCGCCGAAAGGCATGTGGGAGACTCCCCAAACATATGGAAGAAGGTACTCTGGTCAGATGAGACTAAAATTGAGCTTTTTGGCCATCAAGGAAAATGCTATGTCTGGCGCAAACCCAACACCTCTCATCACCCTGAGAACACCATCCCTGGTGGGCAGCATCATGCTGTGGGGATGTTTTTAATCGTCAGGGACTGGGAAACTGGTCAGAATTGAAGGAATGATGGATGGCGCTAAATACAGGGAAATTCTTGAGGGAAACCTGTTTCAGTCTTCCAGAGATTTGAGACTGGGACGGAGGTTCACCTTCCAGCAGGACAATGACCCTAAGCATACTTTTAAAGCAACACTCAAGTGGTTTAAGGGGAAATACTTAAATGTCTTGGAATGGCCTAGTCAAAGTCCAGACTTCAATCAAATAGAGGAACCGTGGTATGACTTAAAGATTTCTGTACACCAGCGGAACACATCCAACTTGAAGGAGCTGGAGCAGTTTTGCCTTGAAGAATGGGCAGAAATCCCAGTGGCTAGATGTGCCAAGCTTATAAAGACATACCCCAAGAGACTTGCAGCTCTAATTGCTGCAAAAGGTGTCTCTACAAAGTTTTGAGTTTGTAGAGTCACAAGAAAAAAAAATTGCATCTTCAAAGTGGTAGGCATGTTGCGTAAATCAATTGATACAATCCCCCCCAAAATCAATTTTAATCATATTTAGTACCAGGCAACCAAATAGGAAAAATGCCAAGGGGGGTGAATACTTTCGCAAGCCACTGTATGTATTGTATTGTAAGAGATTGTGAGGCAACGATGGCATACTCTGTAGTACGTACTTCAAAAGACTTTACAGGTAACAACCTGGTACCAAATGGTAAACAACGGTGAATCCCAAACAATCAAAATATTAATTATCAGGTAATTATTATAAAAGTTATGTGCTGCCAAACATGTACGCCTGTTGTTGATTGAATTTGTCCGGTTCGGGTTTATTGTCAAAACTCTTTCTCCCTGTGACCCACAGCGTCGAGAGTACAGGTGGGTGTGCTTGCCCAGAAGTACATGCCCCAGCTGGGTTGCTTGTCCAATCTGCGCTTCGTGGTGACGGCCAAGAGCATGGAGAACAACCAGGACATGACGGCCATGCAGATAGTGAACCTGGAAGGCCCCGAGCTGGTCTTTTCGGTGGGTCTGGAAGTTCCATTAGTCCTCTTTATAAGGATGTATTTCCTTATTCTCTTAAAGGGATAGTTCGCCCAAATAAAAAAAAATTACCTTTTGGTTTCCTTACCCTGTCAGCAGTAAATTGGTGACAGTGGCCATTTAAACAAAACCAAAGCATAAATTGCTCTTTTACATTGTCCATATACTGCTGACATTGTAAGGAAAACAATATGTAATTTTGTGATTTGGGTGAACTATCCCTTGAAGTGTTCTGTAAAAGTGTTCTGAAATATATTGTGATGGTCCAAGAGCCAATGTAGTAGTGTACCCAATTAAAGCCTTACTTGTGTTGCTAGAAAGCTGCATCTCTCCTCGCCTTTGATCAAGCAGACATTCCAAAAAGTTGATCATCCCTAGATTATTATCATTTATTATATGACATTTGATTGTTGTGAATGGACTATCTCTATTTGAACAGATGAGTGGACCAGCGCAGGTGAACCAGGAGGTAGTTGTCAAGGTGGAGTTCACCAACCCGCTCCCATTCAGCCTGCGTGACGTGAGGATGGCCATGCAAGGGCCTAATTTTATGGCATACCGGGAAAAGTTGTACAGGTAACAGGATTTACAACTCCAAGATCTCACATCATGATGATGCTCACACTTACATTAGTATATTTAGTATTTAGTGTAGTTGTCAGTTGTCAGAGCACCTTACCGATCACTGCACCTGTACACAGCCCATCTGAAATTAGCCCACCCAACTACCTCATCCCTATATTGTTATTTATTTTGCTCTTTTGCACCCCAGTATCTCTATTTGCACATAATCTCTTGCACATCTAGCATTCCAGTGTTAATACTATTGTAATTATTCTGCACTATAGCCTATTTATTGCCTTACCTCCATAACTTGCTACATTTGCACACACTGTATATATATTTTCTGTTGTATTTTTGACTTTATGTTTTTTACCCCATATGTAACTCTGTGTTGTTTTTATTGCACTGCTTTGCTTTATCTTGGCCAGGTCGCAGTTGTAAATGAGAACCTGTTCTCAACTGGCTTACCTGGTTAAATAAAGGTAAAAAAAAAAAAATGCCAATCTCTGTGTGTGTGTGTGTGTGTGTGTGTGTGTGTGTCTGTGTGTGTTTGTAGTGAGATCTCTACCGGCGCCTCCATCACCTGGATGGAGTCATTTGTCCCTACGAGGTCTGTGAATACAATGATCTATGCTGTCCTGGACTGCTCGGTCCTTGGGAATGTGCAAGGCAATTGGGCCATCTGCATCCAGGCCTGATCATTGTCCAGGGAACCCCTCCCACCTGTTAATCACCTGCCATCGACTGGAAAACCATGGACAAACAGAGGCTGTTGTGTAGATCTGAAAGGATTTGATTGGTGGATAAGAAATTCCACCTAGCCTATGAGAGGGCTAGATTCAGCTAATACCATATCCCTTACGGAAAAAAACACTTGATTTCACGTGGAAAATCACATGATTTTACAGGTGAGATTTCCACCTGTGAAACCATGTGTTTTGGAACACTTCAGATCTGATTATATTTCACATGAAGATTCACATGTGGATTTTCACTTGTGAAATCATGTGAAACCATGTGTTTTTGGAACACTTCACATGTGATGATATTTCACATGTGAATATTCTAAAGAGATTTCACAGGTGATGCCCTACAAACAAAATTAAGTTGTTTAAATAGATACACAAACAGTACTTTTAACATACTATATTGTTTTCAACATATATATTTGAATCACTTTGACATACATGATTACATTGTGTATGTTTATTTATACAGTAAGTATTATTCAACATGTCCTCATCTGGAATTTGAACCCACAACCTCCTGGTTCACGACATCCCGACTTTCCTGCTACTCCACCATGTCTGTGTCAATGACAGATTTAACCTACGCTTTGGGTTTAAGTAAAGTAAATTCAAGCTTTGTTAAAAATACACTCAAGAAAAACTTTTATATTCATCATATTGATTCAGGAGTAACATTAAAACAGAATAAAATGCCCCGACAACATTAGACAACTATACAGAAAAGTTCTCAAATTGCTGAAATAAGTATATGAAATAAATGAGGAAAGAATAGTCGGATTAACTAATCTAGAAGTGCAGATGGCACTCTTTTGCTAAATGGAGAGATGTATTATAGGTAATGAATGAGTAGAGGAACTCTACAGACTTTGCCGAGCAGCAGAAAAGTCAGTGTAGCCCAAATCCAGAGGTTGTGAATTCTAATCCAAGTTGAGGTCATATTGAAAAGTCAGTTCTTAGTAATCATGTCAAATGTAATCATGTTCATATGTTTTCACCTCACATGTGATTTGCAGATTCACATTTGAAATTTGCAAAATCTAACTCTCACGTGGAATTTATTTTTCACATGAAAAACTTTCTCATGTGAAAATCTAATTTTCACTTTCACTTGTGAAAAACGTTCACATGAAAATCTAACTCGCACATGTGGAATTGCATTTTCACATGTGAAAAACCTTCACATCTGAAAATAAAATTTTCTGTTTCACATGTGACATTTTGTGGCGTGGAAATCAAGTCAAATCAAATCAAATTTTATTGGCCACATGCGCCGAATACAACAGGTGCAGACATTACAGTGAAATGCTTACTTACAGCCCTTAACCAACAGTGTATTTATTTTTAACAAAAAAAGTAAAAATAAAACAACAACAAAAAAAGTGTTGAGAAAAAAAGAGCAGAAGTAAAATAAAATAACAGTAGGGAAGCTATATATACAGGGGGGTACTGGTGCAGAGTCAATGTGCGGGGGCACCGGCTAGTTGAGGTAGTTGAAGTAATATGTACATGTGGGTAGAGTTAAAGTGACTATGCATAAATACTGCAAATTGTGTTCAAATTTGTAGTTTCATGGTATCATTTGTTGAAATTTTGAATCCCTGTGTTGTCACATTTCACATGAGATCATGTTTTCACGAGTAGTTTTATGTTTTCACATGTTGCTTTTGCATGTTGTCACTTGTTATCACATTAAGTTCACATAAGATCACGTGCCCATGTAAGGGATTGCTTACACGGACACATTTTTTTCCAGAAATGCCTAGGGCTAGGGGCTAGGAGTTGATTTGGAATTGGACAGAAGACGGAGGGCCAAACCACAACAAGCGCATTAGTTTATCTTATAATGTATTTTTGCAATGCCAAATATCTATTAAATCAATCTATTTTCAGGCATTGGTAACACTTAAAGTTGAAGGCCCCTACATAAGGACTTCATAACACATTAATTAGCTATACATGGCACATTCATAATCAGTAGAACTGCAAGTTGAAGTTTTTGTTATGTCACAGTAATCTGCATATATGTTGACTCATGTAAACTTGCAGTTATTGACATAGGCATTTCATGAAAGTTATCCCTTCAAGATTCTCAGGGACAAAAAGGTTCAAAAGTTACTATCCATATGAATATGATGTATAGAAAACTTCAAAATTGTTTTTTATTCATTCTAATGAAATGAATAAAGACCTTATCTCAGGTATTGAATTTGGTTTCGAATGAGCTGACTCAGATTCAGTTTCTGTTGTTCGATCTTACAAACCTTTGCTGACTGTGATTTCTCACATAATCATGACCTCCAATCTAATCAACAGTCCAGTGTTATGTGCAGTAGATTTAATCAAGCAGAAAAGGTACTGCATTTAAAGAAGCTATGCGTATTTGGGAAACAACATGAAAAAAAAAAAAACTATTAACCTTAAGTAAATCATTTGTCATCAGATTTAAATGCAGAATATAAAAAAATGTACACTGTATATAATTTCACAATTTAAAAGCTATCTTAGGGCACTGTTCCTCAGTTATTTTGTTTGACTGTTTTTGCATGAGCAGTAATATTGGAAAAACATAATTTTAGGCTTTGCGTCAAACCAAATATTTAAATTCACTGCCATTAACTGTTTATAACATTTCAGCTGTGCACTGCTTTTGATTAACAATAAAATCATTTTCAAAAACAATACTGTTGTCACACCATACATTTTTTTGTAATCATTTAATATTTTAAAACATTTCCGGATGGGGTGGGTTAAAGTAAACAGGCCACTGTAACTGCCAATATCATTGTTATGTTCACTGGTCCCGTTTCATTCAAAAATTATTTCTAAAACACCTTACAAACACTCCAACCTTTTTATTTAAAAAAAAACGGTATTGCGCATAATGCTAGAAAACATTCAGACCATCTACAAGACATTGGTTCCATATTAACCACTGTAAATGAATTTGAGGAAGCTCTAAAAATGCAACTATTCTATAAAATAAGTGAAATAATAGCTGATTTTAACTTCCGTCTTAAATCAGTAACATTATAGCAGGCTGGGATGAGATCCTATTAGACAGTGCTCATCAGTCTCGGATGTTCCAGGCACAGTTAATTTATCTATGTTTCCAGGTGATACAGTATCCATGTCAGGTTTACTGAGCTCTTCATGGCAGATGTCACATGATGATACTCCTCCACACTGTCCCTTTGGGTAGGCCAAGCAATGCTCAATTCATCCATTAGGAAAGAGGCAGAGAACCAAGGCCTCAGAGCACATTGGGAAACTTTCATGAAATTATTGGAATCCGCAAGCAATACTTATCAACACTGTTTTAACGTTGAAATGTTCTTACATGGTAAATGTCATCTTAATCTTGGAGACTTGAAGACCGGAGCATAACCAGGTAGGACCAGGGAAGAAACTGACCAGAAAATGACCAGAGCCCAGGTTCCCAAAAGCATCTTAAGGCGAAGTTCATCGTTAGAACTTTTTGTAACTTTTTGTAAGAGCATCGTTAAATCTCAGAGCTGTTTCCCAAAACCATTGTTACTAAAGTTGGACTTGAAAACACTTGTTATTTACCGACTTCCTCAGACTACTCATAGAACAGCCACGTTTTTTGCCCTTCCACATCACTTTATACACAGAAGACTACAAATACATAGTTGCCAATGTCTTTGCAATTGTTAAAAACAGGAGAAAGATAAAAGATCATTCAAATGAAACCAAGATGACTGCATTAAAATATAAATACAGTAAAATACTCCAATAAAAAATGCTGGGTTGTTTGGATGACCCAATTGTTGGTTTGCAGGTACTGGGTCACTTAGTTGGGTCGTTTTCTTAAAAAAAAGAGCCAGGCTGGGTTGTTGCGGTGACTGTATTAGGTTCTTAAATGGTTCTTCCTCAGCTCTTAAGGTTCCTTAGAGAACTCTAGCCCGATAAAGAACCTTTGAGTTAACTTTGGAGTTCTTGACGTGGCATCTACGGTTTTTCCAAATTCTAAAAGGTTCTTGAAATGTATGGAAGCCTGCAGACGTGTCCCTTTCATAGCACATACAAATTGGTTAGTGTTAACTAGGGTTGATTTTTCCGTGTACAATTTCTAGTGTTGATTCAAGAGTTAAATTAACACTCTGTGGTGCAAAATAACCCCTGTGTTAGTGTTAATGACCAGAGTTGAACCAAAACCCACACCTATCATTGTCATATTTTATCATATTTCCAAGCATGCTCTATTGCAGGTAAAAAAAAAAAGTAATTGTCTGTTTCAATATCTATGTTTTTGCATATTGTACATAGATTAATTCATATTTTGCTACTCAAATATAAATAAAATACCTCTTTCTAAACTATTCCAATCCGTTACTTAGACTTATTTCACCCGTAACTGATGTGGTTGTTTCAATTTAGATGTTTAAGGTAGTCTCATATCCTAGTCTTCCCAACCCTGGCAGTCATTCTGAATGCAGGTTGCGGGTGAATACAAATTCTAAATGTTGGATATCCCCACTCTGGCTGGATTCCAATAGAAATTATGCATCACTTTACAAGCCAGCATAATGTGACTTGCAGGCCTGATGTGGACTGTAAACTATGAGATTCAGGCCACTGTATTAGGGTTAAACTAGACCCTAAAAAGGTGTTATAAAATATGGATCGTCTTAAAGAATTTAATTTGAATGACAACATATTCACTTAGGATCTCACTTGGTGAAGGCCACAGGACTGAAAATGAATAGAGTACCACAGTATGAGTCATAATACCCATAAAACCTAGCGGTCAAAAGGGGAAATGATTCCAATCGTTTTACCACCATTCATTTTTCCGATGAGGGATTTTAGAAACCCTTAAAATAAGGGCTTTGTTTCGTGTAGGCTTACCATGGGGTGACATTTTGATAACCGTGTAAATCTCTCTAGGACAAGGTGATGTTTATCAATATATTCCCTTGTATTTAGCA